AGCCTAATTTGATAAAGTTTCAAATTCATTTCTGAAATATTTCGTAATATAGTTGTCTTTGTCACATTTTATTTGGCATAATTATGCACGTTTACAGATATTTTACATGATATGAGTGATAACACGTGTTATAAGGGCTATTTTGCACAATAGGTGTGCCTTGAGATTTTTACTTGTCCTTTGGTGTGCCTTGGGCACAAAAAGTTTGGGAACCACTGCTCTAGAGTCTAGACACTATAGAGAAATAGCACACAATGAATGTTTTGTTCCTGCATGAAAATACTTGTGCTATACAAATGAGGTTAGGGCTTATGGTTGCAGTTTGGAGTGCTTTTCCCGTCAAATACCCAGAGAAATGTAGAAAGAGCAGATTAGTTTAAGAGGATTTTTAACCACATATAGGGTTGTTGTGTTTCTGGTTACGGGAAATCACAGTTTACAGTAGGCCCAGCTCAGCTCATAAAAATACTTCTGGTGAAATAGATTGTATGATAATGCATTTTTAATAATGATAGTACTGATGTATAATCTGACTCACTGATAGAAAATAACACATTTTCTCTATTTGCACACTTTTGTCCCCTTTAACTTCCCATTAAAACCTATGAACATCCCAGTAGCATACTATATATGTCTCTGCTGCCATCTGCTGGTTCATAAGGGTACTGTGAATATGAGACACGTAATTTGCAAACTTCCCCGCCTCAAGTATCACTAAATATTACTGTTGTGTATCTACGATTGTATCACACATATGGCTGCACAATTTATTATTATTTTATTCACACCATGTAACCCTGTGTGATAAACATATCCTGAAAGGTTAGAAATGAGTATCAGTATTTATTTTCCCTTATTTTTTTCAATTCAACAAGCAGTAGTTGTTATCAGTAAAGCAGAAGAAATATACTACAATTTAATATCTTTTTTAAATATTTTCCTAACATTGTGCAGCCTTTACCTTTAATGCCTCACATTCATTCTCTCACTTTTTCATGATACTGTAAGTGCCCAAAATGTCTCTTCACTTAACAACTCTGCCACTAACTAAAATAATACTTCCACAAAGTACCAGAACACATGAGCTCACGGTGTAAATATTGAGCCTGTGCTTCCTCAGTGTGTTTCACAGTGAGAGAACATACATGTAAGCGTGTGAACTGTTTAGTATCCCTGTGGGAGAAGAGACCGAAACATGATACACCAATTAACCGGAGAGTTTCTGTCCCTCAGAAACATGTGCTCCCATCATCCTGGAACTTTTCATAAGACCAGTAGATGAGGAGAAAGTCTCAACAAATAAATAGAAATGGCTCTGAAAGTATGCGTACCTTTTTGTATGATTTAGTGTTTGAGTGCAGTTGTAAAGATGGAAATGCAAGTGACTGTGATAAAATCCTGAACTCTTTATCACCATATCCTCACTTTATTCCATATATGGAGATGTTTAATCAACAGCCGTAACAAGGGCCTTAGTTAAGTTGAATGCAGAGTGATGTTTTTGCAGGCTTAGGAAGGAACACACAGCAACTTCAGGGTTTCTGTGGGTCCTTCAAATCTAAAAGGAGCATTTCAATTGTCTTGAAATACGATTACTTGAAATTAGATTGGATTATAAAGTCACTTATACACAATAGCAGTTAAATGATACAACTTTACCAGGAAGCATGCAGTCACTTCCAAATGTGTCTTTGGCAAATATTCGTATTAATCAATGCTGCAAACACCCTTACTCACTCATTAATCCTCTGACAGCTCTTGAGAAATCTGGTTGCCATGGTGATTATTTGTGGTTAGGGGAGATTTAATCCTTTTTTTCTAATATTTCTCAATGCTCTATGACAAAGTAGCTAAAAACGGATGCTATATAACTGTTTTGTGATGAAGACAGACTTCCCTATGGTTAATGTGCAGCTGTGGTGCTGGAATGTACTGTATACAGCTGTTTGCATATGTATGTGTGCATAATTCTGCTCCAGGTGCCTTCATAAACTGACATTGAGTAACTCCACAGCTTAATGCCGTGTTTACTTACCCTGCTCACGGCCCTGTGCAGGTCACCGCCGCTGACAGCCCATAGTGATGAAAAGTGCAGGGAGGGTTAATATGTGGGAGAGCCTGCAGGCCATCTCTGGTGATTTATCGACTAGTGTGACGCACATGAACGCACCATGGGAAGATCTTATCAAGGAAGATGGGTTTGACCTGATATATATTTCTCTCTCAGGTGGTAAGAATTGTGCTTTCTCACGTCAAAAGTATCCACATTTATTGTCATGAATGACCCATTTCTGATGCTTCTGGTGCTTTTGACTAATCTGCTGTGGTGAGGGAAAGCAAAAAACCTCATGGCATAATAATTGTAGGCAAAAACACATAAAGAAAACAGCTAGAAAGGAAGTCTGGTTTTACCCAAACACACAACTCTGTAATTGCTTTTGGTAATTACTGCAAGACTGAGACATATGAGCTTTTCTTCAATCATTTGTCAGTTAGTGTTGCATGCTTTGTGGTGCATAGTTTTAGTTTGTAGCCTCTTATGAAAAGGCCTCTATGTACTGTCAAAGATTATTTTAAGCCACATTTTCAATTTGCATTTGTTTCTGCAAGATCAGACGCTTTTAATTTACTTTTAATTTGCTCGTCTGTCCCAGATAATGAAGATAAAAAACGTAACTCTTCAATAAGTCGCTTTAACCTGTTGATATTATTCACTTGGAGAACTCATTATGTAGTGTCTCTACTTTAAAGAGTCCTCTCCTGCTGATGTTCAGGTGTATATCAGTATGTAGTGTCTCTACTTTAAAGAGTCCTCTCCTGCTGATGTTCAGGTGTATATCAGTATGTAGTGTCTCTACTTTAAAGAGTCCTCTCCTGCTGATGTTCAGGTGTATATCAGTATGTAGTGTCTCTACTTTAAAGAGTCCTCTCCTGCTGATGTTCAGGTGTATATCAGTATGTAGTGTCTCTACTTTAAAGAGTCCTCTCCTGCTGATGTTCAGGTGTATATCAGTATGTAGTGTCTCTACTTTAAAGAGTCCTCTCCTGCTGATGTTCAGGTGTATATCAGTATGTAGTGTCTCTACTTTAAAGAGTCCTCTCCTGCTGATGTTCAGGTGTATATCAGTATGTAGTGTCTCTACTTTAAAGAGTCCTCTCCTGCTGATGTTCAGGTGTATATCAGTATGTAGTGTCTCTTATTTTCTCTTTATTTTTCTCATACTGCCTGTGCTGCAGCACCTCTTTTCACTCTCTGTCTGAAACCAGAGCTGCTCTGATTGGTTAGCTGGCCGGCTCTGTTGTGATTGCTCCAAGGCCGAATTTCCCATATACATTGGGTGGGACACATCCCCCCCAATATTCAGATACGCTCAAAATGTCCCCCCCCCCCATTTTTATATATTTTCCTTAGAATGGCAGGAAATTAGTATTCAAATGTTTTGGTCCCCCCCAATGTTGACTTCATGGTTACGGCCTTGGATTGGTCAACCCCTTATAGATGTCCCGCCCCTTAGCCTATCACGTACAATGTGTTGGAGCGCTAGCCCTCAACAACTGGCTTTCACACACTCCCCAAAGCACCCAATCTTTTCCAGTCCTGCATAGCATTAGTACAGCAGAATGAATGCACAAATGGTCAAAATGTGGAAACCTCCAAATGTCATGCAGCGGGGGTGTGGGAGGTCTGCGGGCTGGAATGTGGAACAGCTGGATGTCCTTGCTTGGCAGATGAGGCGGTCGCTGCAGGATGGGGGCACACAGGGCCGGTGGGAGGGGGAGATCCCTCCATGCCTTATCTGTGAGAACCTGGAAGTGGGATATTTTCCGAGGATTTTCTGCGATGAGGCAATGGAGTCTGTCCCGTGGGAGTTGAGCTTAAGAAGTTTACTCAGATACGCCCTCCCTCTCTCAGCTGCTGCTCTTCATTCATGCCTCTCACTCCCGCTGCTCCTCACCCATCACGATTGTATCATACACACCATCACGTATGACTCATTTTCACCCATGATAATAAATCACACCGACATGCCTGTGTTGTGTTACTCAACACAATCACTCTCTGTGTTTTTGTTGTTTGAAACAACAAATGAGATAATTTCTCTTCATGCTCCAGGTCAGGCTCAACTCTAACCTCAGAGCTACCTTAACCTGTCAGCTGATGAGTACATTTTTTCGGATTTATTTGGGCCCTCATCCTTGGTCAATTTGAGTCGGAGGAAAATGTAAATAATTTTGCGAGAAAGAATGTAAAGTCCAAACATTTTTGTATTTTCTACCCTGGCTACACCATAGATTAATCATACGACCTCTGGTAGGGAAACCACCGTACTTTCCCCACTTACTATTATTACTTTTGTTTGCATTTATTCAAATAAATAGCTTTTTTGCCATCCAATGCAATGACCTCTCTTTTGCCTTTTTAAGACATGGATATTCAGTATGTATATATTTTGTCTATTTCTACTCTGGCGACCCCTTCGATTAATCTTGCAACCCCATTTAGTTGCATTTTTTCAAATATATTCATGCATTTTCTTGCCAATGCAATAACCTCTCTTCTGCTCTTGGAATATACAGGCCAAACATTACTGTAAAAACACACAGTACATGTTGTACTGCTTCTGAAGTACTTGCATCTGAACTCCAGAGTCTTGTCCATCTCTACACACTGTTTATTATATCCTATACATGTATTTAAAACTCCATATTTAGGTTATTTCCATGCAGTGCGGGTGTGTCGCTGTGGTAACATGAAGGCTTGCATGCTTTTCCTCCACGCTGTAGTGAGTCTTCGGGGACCCACTCATCAACTCAAACAGGGGAGGAGTTTTGGTGTGGGCAACTTTGATAACCAATGGCATCCATCATCAGTGAAGCAAGCCTGCCTCTGCACTTGAAATCCCCCCCCCCCCCCCTTCTGTGCTTGTTCGTGAGTGTGGGAGATGTAGAAGGAGGGTCTTGGAGTTTTTATGTGTTGCTTTTCATTCAGTGGATGCTCAGTGGCGCTTGAACAGCAGCTTGGATTTAACTGTTGACCTGCTGGCTAACAGGTGGGGGAACAGAGAGTGGAGGAGATACAATCCGAGGAACCATGTTGAGGATGAAGACGTTGCTCCTTCTCCTGGCTTTTTTTGCCTGGAGCTCGGACGCCTGGTTCTGGTCCAAAGACCCAGAACCCACAACATCAACCTCCATTGAGTCAACACCATCGGGAACGACAGGTGCCGCCAACGCAACTCAGAAGAACCTGGAGGAGGAGGAGGAGGAGGAGGAGGAGGAGGAGGAGGAGGACGACAACTTGTCTGGGGTTGGGGATGAAATCCTCAACGTAACCACGGGAATCCGTAAGTTTGTGGCGGCGTGGGACGTGACCCCGACCCCCGGGACTACTAACGGAGGCCCCACACAGAAGGTGGAGAGCGCTAACCCTAACACCACCGGTAATGCTAACGGGGTCAGAGGGGAGAGGGTGGAGGAGGAGGAGGAGGAGGAGGAGGGGGATGGTGTAGAATCAGTTTTAAATGGTGATGAAATGGTGTCTAAAATCAATGAGACTTTTTCGGGTGTTTTGGATCTTCCACCCCATGATAGTCGCTTCAATGCTTGTCTCCCGGTGCCTTCTGATTGGCCCATTTGCTCCAGCAAACGTCCAGAATCATTCACGCTGCCCAACTTTTTCAACCATACGTCTGTGGAGGAGGTGGGGTCGGTCCTACAGGAGTGGGCATGGCTCACAAAATTGGGGTGTCACCACGGCGCCGAGTGGTTCCTCTGCCTCCTGCTGGCCCCCCGCTGCACGGCCCCCCCCCACCCACACCTGCCCTGCCGCAGCTTCTGCCAGGTGCTGCAGGACAGCTGCTGGGCGTCTCTGGAGGACGGGCGTCTCCCCGTGGAGTGTCACCTCCTGCCGGACGGGGGGCAGGAGCCCAGGGGTCCCGCGTGCGCGTCCGTTAGTAACCTGAAAGGTAACGGCGGGTTAGAATGTATCCCGTGCGGCCATACATTTTCAACCCCGATGTCACGTCAGTTTTTGTCGTTGTTTGAGCATTAGTCTGTGTGTTTGTGCGGTGCTTGTTTGGAGACTCACATGTTTAAGTACATATTCGGTTTTATGGATCCTTTTCATTCACTTTAAACATGATTTTTAGTACTTTACATTACAGATGACCATCTTTAAAACCATATATATTGTTTAAAGCTCACCTATTATGCAAAATCTACCTTTTCATGTCTCTTCTACATCAACATGTGTCCCCTCTGTGTAAAAAGATTCTGAAAGTTTCAGGAAAAAAGATTTTCTCTCTTTTTGTCCTGATCCATTTATATAAAAACCTGTGTGAAAATGAGCTGATCAGATTTTGGCCACTTTATGATGTCATAACGATTTTTTGGCTTGTGTAACCATCAGCCAATCAGCAACCAAGGTAACGCCCCCCCACCTTATCACCTGAATCTCCTCCTAGAGCACCATTCTGTTCTTTTTTAACCAAATAATTCTCAGAGGGGCACTTTTGAAACAGGGCTGAAACAGAGGGGATTATGGGATGCTGAAATGATCTGTTTGGTGTTTCAGCCAATCAGAGACATGTTCTGTATATATCTGAGACTTGTGATATGTTGATGAAAAACAGTATAATAGGGGACCTTTAAAACCATAGTGTTTAAAATATTTGAATTGCACATTAATAATAATTAACTTTGTGCACACCTATAACATTTTAGACTTGAAAAAGACAAAATGCAGCACAACCCGAGACATACTGTAGTCTTTTTCTATTAATTTTTCTGATCAGAGCCTGGTGCCAACATTACCCACAATGCAACTGACCAATCTGTCAGACATTCAGGTGGGTTTGGTGTTTTTGGGGGCAGTTTAGCTCATCCTTCTTGAGTTTCAGTCATTCATCACAGTTAGGATCATGTCTGCTTTCATCGTCGTTTTGTATGTGCATATTGATTTGATTTATTAATAAAAGTAGACATGAGGTTTGACACAGATGAATGCTCTAACTCAGACAAGTCTCTGCAAGTAGAATTTTTCCAACACATGCATTAAACTTAATAATGCCTTTTTAAGGTAGTAAAATGGTTGCCAATAATGTAAAGTACAAGTGTGCAATGAATGGGTCCAAACATGCAGAACCAGCAGTGATGTTTGCAGTCGTTGTTGTCGTGTTGCTTTCTGGCGTCGTTTAGAAAAGCGCATGATGCTCCCGAGTTCACGTTGTGCCCCTGGCTGCATGCCATTCATGTGATTGTGTGTCAAATGTAAGCAGCGTTTTGTATGTCAGCAATGGACAGAGCGCTACAGGTTCTTTCTGTTAATACCACTGTGTAGAAATACTGTGTTACAAGTAGGGCTACTGCATCCAAGTACAAAAGTATTAGCATCAAAATAATACCAAATCAAAAAGCCCTTATTATGCAGAATGGCAATTTTTTTAATAATATATTTATTAGACTACTAGATAATTAGTGATGCATTAATGTGCTCGTCATTTAAATTGTACAGCTGCTAAAGGTGGAGCTAACTTTAGTTGCTGCCAGGTATCTTAATCCGCATCATAATTCATTAGTCGATAATATTTTCTAATAATAATTAGAAGTAAAGCTGTCATATAATTGCAGTGTAGTAAAATGTACAATATTTGCTTCCTAAATGTAGTTTAATAGAAGTTTAAAATAGTGTAGAATTGGAATACTGCAGTTAATTATGTGACCGTCTATGTTTCCTGTAGATATTTAATTGCTCTTTTTACTGCACTTTTAGTGTACAGTTTTGCTATTATGCTGCTGTGTTTATTGTATTTTTGTAACTCTGGCACAACAATTTCCTTCGGGATAAATAAAGTCTTATCTTATCTTAAAGTACAAGTACGTCACATTGTACTTAAGGACAGTACTTCAGTAAATGTACTTAACGGTTGATTAAAGTGTTAAAAGCAACCAGAATGGACTTGAAATCCACATAATCATTTAACAAGTGGAATATTTTGTTAGGCCTCATTTAGTTTTACAATAATCAGTATTGGAAATGATACCCTGCATTAAGTCAAGTGTTTCCTAGTCCATTTACACTAAGACTTCATTGGGAAATACATATGATACGCACAGTACAGAAGCCCTAGTATAAACCCTGAAACAGGAAATGCTCAAGAGGCCCATGTCCAGTGGCGTCATAAATCCTGCAGTATGGAGACTTCATTACCGCCATAGTGTTTCTCCATTGGTTCCTCGTGAACTTTTCTACATTAAACCGTCTTTATCATGTGTTTTCCCACAGGAATATGTCATGTAAATGTTCTGGGTTATTTTCCATGTACAGAAGGGCTCATGTTTGGATAACCTTTGAACCTGAGACATAAACCATATGCTAAGATTTGGGGAGCTGTTAAACACAGACAAGTGTGTTGAATGAGTGTGTGTTTAACTCCTGTATATACTGAATGTTCCCTGAATTATTATAATTATCGAGATGTAGGGAAAGTAGCTTCTTACCTTATACAGTACAGGGTATGAGACGTCAATTCGTTTTTTATGGGGTGGGAATTTCCAAACACCTGCGTTAGCTACCTCATTCAGTAACCCACACAGAAAACAGTCATTATTTTAGCAGACATTGACAAAAACAATCTAAATGAGCTTTTCAGAGATGTATTGGCGCACCGTAGACGGACCACTTTTGGACATAATGTACTTTCCATTAAAGGCAGCTCATTGTGGAATAGCCTCCCAACTGAGATACGGGATTGTCCCACTCTCAATAGTTTTAAAGGTCAACTCAAAGAATGGTTGAGAAACAACCAGACGTGTAATCACCGCTAAATGCACTTTAACACAGGGGTATCTCCTCTTGCACTTTATGCATCTCTTGTATCATCTCTTGAACTTACTATGTCGTTGCTGCTATAGTGTACTGCCATGTGGTAAATACTTGTGTATGCTGCTCTTGCTCTCTTGCATATCATGTATTTATTTGTTGCTATGTTTACAAATGACATGTTCTTATATGTTGTATGAGAGGGACTACGGATGCAAATGAGCTCAAAGCTGAAATCCGGGATATTTACACTTGAAGCATTATTTGTCTAAAGTGTTCATTAATGTGCATTGTCCCTATTCAAATAAATGAAAATGTCCACTGCAGGGCCTCACACGGCTTAGTACACGGTATAGTTAGGCCTTGGTAGGCTCACTTTATGCTGCGTTTCCCTTACAGTTTAGTAGCTGGGGCAGTAACTATAGTAACGTAGTGTGGAGCCGTGACGTCATCTTCAATGCGAACCACAAAACCAACATCAGCCGTTAGCTCTTAGCCCTCAGAGCTCACAGCTCCTCATATCTGTTCACTAGACCAAAGTTAAACAAGTACAAACCACAGACTTTCTGTGTCATGGCGAATACAGTCGCTGGTTTATTTATGTCTGTAGGCCGTTGTTATGAGTGTGGACGGTCGGAGCATATACTGCGTTAGCTTAGCCGATCTCCATTCAGAAAACACGCATTTTAAAAAGGTGTTTCGCCTGCCGTCTGTCTACAGACTTGTCAAAGCATTAATTCATGGTTTTTACTAACCGGTATCAGTATGTTGTTACTTCGGCATCATTTTGAAACGTGTATTACAATTAAATCACGGTCAAATATGTTCATTTTGTTTTAGTTGCCAGCGATTCTCTCACTAGTTTAGCATACTCAGCTCGGTTGTTGGTCCAGAAAGAACCTCGATTTTGGAGAGCCAGAAAACTGTGAAAAAGTACCCGCTAGCCGGAACTACGCCTAGTGGAAACGCAACCAAAAACGGGCCGGGCACGGCACTGCACGCTTTAACCACGCTCCGCACTGTAGTGGAAATGCGCCATATAAGTTACTATATATTGTAAATAATGGTCACTTCTTCATGTTGTCAATTGCTATAAATGTCTTTATGCTCTATTCTTCATAAGAATTTGAGAAATGGGTTAGAACACTAACCCGTCACATCCTTCCCTTGCATTTTTCTACCCTGGCTTATCTGCTTATCATATTTGAACATTTTCTGATCAGCTGGCGTGGATTTCTGCATGGATTTAAGAGGCGAATGCTTCTCTGGAGTCACACAGAGAGGGGGAGAAACAATTGGACCATCTGTGGCCCCCCCACAGATGGTCCAATGAGAGGATGGGCAGCGGATGGCATTTATGATGGCGGCTGTGGGTGGGAAAATGGTCGCTCCCGATGAAAGAGTGTGGCGATTGTGTGCTTCGGATTGGAAGAAAGGCCAACGGTGTCGCTGTAAATAACAAGAGGGCCTTGTGACTGGGATGAGACTGGGCGGCACAAAGTCTCCGCCAGAGGTCACAGGTCACGGGGCATTCGCATACCCTCTCAAACCAGAAACACTTGACGGGTGATAATTAAGAGTTCCGCCGAGCATTTGAAGCAGAGCAGAGACAAAGAGTGAAAGAAGATTTTTTAACAGCGGGAATTACCCGTTCTTTTGGGAAAGTGATTCAAAAACACTTTAATCGCTTTAACCTCCATATTGGAGCCATTTGCATTTATGTGTCGCTAATTTGGGCACTTCCCGTTTGCTAGTTAGTGGTGAGCTGGTGCCAGAAAAGTAAAGCAGTACTTAAAGTAAAAAGCACATATTTCTACAAACATAAGTCAGTTTTTTTGGTCATGGTGGTAATATTCAGCTTGTTAAAATGTTGTATGATGTCTTTTGTGGCTGTGAAGAAGTTTGTGTTTAGCGACTACACTTGTCAACAAGCTTTGAAGAAGGTCGTTGATCGAAAATTAAAAATATCTTTGCACAGGTTTGAGTGTGCAAATTCTCTTTTTCATTAAGTTGGATCACAGAGTCGGATTAGGGTTGATTTCCTTTCTCCATTTCATGACTTTCAGAGGCTAGCTGTTTCGCCTTGTTTTCAGTCTTAATGCTAAGCTACCTATCTGCTGGTTTTACCTTCATATTTAACATAGATGCATGAAATTGTATCAATCTTCTTATGCAGCTCTGCAAAAAAGCGAGGATATTTTCTTAAGATGTCTGATTTCTTTATAACAAACACTTCAGTGTACAAAGAGTACGATCAAACGTTTTTGGAGCTTGAGACTTACTAAAAACAGGATTTTTGTTTGTCTCTGGAGCTTGTTTGTGTCTGCAACTATAGTTTCAGAAGCATTCAAATTGTATGGTCCGATGTTTGAGTATGCACACATTCCAGTACTGCTGATAGTTGATGGTACAACATTTCTCCCCTCTGCCCAAATACATGCTTCACACAGAAACAACATTTCATTTGGACTGCAGCCAAGACACCACACTATTTCAAATCTTCAGAAATGCTGGACTTAAAAGAAGCTGATGTCATCCGAGCCCCTCGCTGATCCCCCATCAGTCAGCTTTAATTTGCTCTCAGCTCACAGTTGACTCTAACATGGATTAAAGTCTGACGGAGGCCGTACATGTCACAGCTGTGCCGCCTCCGGCTGAAGCGCTAACTGAAGCCAATCTTTCTTCAGACGTGTGAAGTCCAGTTGCTTCTGTCCCCAGAGAGTATACTACAACTGGGACTGATAACGTTGTAACTGAGAGGGTACAGATTTAGGTTTCTTAAGCAACTATTAGTCGACTAATATTCATAGACTACTAATTTTTCATGCAGAAATGTCAGAAAATGCTGTTTTCTGTGATTTAATTCATATTATAGTGAGTGTATTTGGGCAAAACAGGACATATAGGACCTAATATATAGACATTTTTGTACTCTTTTCTGACATTTTCTATCAATATTATGAAATGTTAGTTGCAGGCCTAGTTCTGAGGTGGAGATAGGCTGCCTGAAGTGTTTAAATGACTCCTTGCATATTAGTCGATTAAATTACCTTGTTGTTTCTCCGCTTACTTTTCCTTTTATGGGCTGCAGTGTGCCGCTCCTCTGGATGAGGCATGATTTAATAATGGTCTAATGTTCTTCAACCTTTGGCATGCAACAAAACAAACCTATAGCTCATACTGTAGAATAATAAGAATACTTTTGTGTAATTATTGAGCAGGAATGAGAGGGTTTTGAGTTTGAACATACAGACATTTTTGATTGCAATGGAGCTAGAAGACCTTTTTATGACGAGTTCTGTTGCCACCAATCCAATATTTATGTTGTTACTAAGCACTTTCTATTCCGTGTGCATGTTTCTGGCATATTTGTTTTTAGATGACATCTTCAGATTATAGTCAATATATCAGCAATACACTCACAGCAGCACTAGTTGCTAATGTATTTAAACGTTCACAAGTAATTGATTCGTCATTGCAGGTCTATTTGAACTTATTTACTACTTATTACTACAATTTTGCTTTGTTTAGCCTGAACCTAAACCAAACACAGGACTGAAAATGTAGTCGATCATGCCTGAAAAAAATGGCTAAATGAAACTTTCCACCCTTAAATCTGGGGGCAATTTCTTGGGACCATTAAACGTGGGATACAAACTCTTGTCTATGACAGGTCTTTTTTGTACCTCTTTTTTTGTGTTTATGTTTCCCCCCCTGAGGATGCACTCCTACGCTTCTGGAGGAGTGCATCAGCCTCACAATGACATTTCTGCCTGTTTCCACTCGCCTGTATTGTCCGTGCAGACTTCTGGGACAGAGTCAGCTTGTGTGCTTCATCCTGGAGTCCCTCATGGTCCTCGTTCCCATGGACATCTGACACGCATTTCCTCCCTCTGCCTCCATCTGTCTGTGGCTCTCTCCACTGGCAACGTCTTCACACGGTTAAACAGGCATTGGATTTCTCCGGGGGGTTAAAGTTGGAAAACAGAGACATGGCACTTAAGTCCTGTGAAACAGAATACATGAGGTCATTTGTATGTGCCCATGCCTGCTGCATGTTGTTCCTCTGGGTGCAAAAGGGCGGAGACGGGAGCCATCAGCAGGGTTAACATGGTTGTTTCGGAGGCAAGGTTCACACGTATGGGGGTCAGGCGTCCTCTGGAGGGCAGCCAAGTGAGAGAAACAGCTGATCACTTACATGAAGTAAGAGTTAATGGGCTGTTGCTGCAGGAACAGTCAGTAAACATAAGGATGGAGGCACCCTTGTGTCTAAAAAAGTACATGTTGTAGCATTAACAGCTGGACTAATACATCATAATGGTGGTATTTTTTATTATAATTGGCCCAAATGGGTGAAATTATCCGGAATCTTTGGAGACATGGCTTCAGATTAGTTGGTCTTCTTTGCTTGCTTTTGCATGTTTTGGTTCACAGGACAAACATAGAGCCTGAGACCAAGATTGTAACCCTGATATTAGAAAAGCGTGCATAGATGTTGGATAGAATACTTTGCTTCAGTGGCTGTGGGATAGCTTCCAGATGTGAAGTGAAACAGGATGTTGAATAAAACCACAACACCACATTTCACATGCTGCTGCAGAAGATGATATTTCCCTTTTTTGTCAGATATCAAACTTTTTATTTCATAATGTTACCCAGCAGCTGCAGCAGCTGTGTCTCTGAGATGAACCAATAGCAGGTGCCCACAGTGGGAAGCTGACCACCCGGTGAGACCTGCTCCAATTGGACCAAATCTCACAGGCTTAGGACTCTGCACGAAAGGGTGTGTGTGAGAGAACATGTGTTTTACTCCCTGCCAGCGCTAGGTTAGCGGGTTCAGATGTGTGTTATGAGCTGATTGTCCCCTGAATAACTTTCCATGATGGAGTGTTTCCTCTCAGCAGGTGAGAAGGTGTCAGAACATTTCTGAGGTTAGGTAACTGCCAGAAGGATGACGCAATATCCTGTCCAAACACTCATTTCAAAATTTAGAGGAAATATAAAGTAAAAGGAACAGAAATCTCAGTCAGTTATCATTTTGAACAATGTTCCATTTCTTTTTCTGATAGTTTTCTCTCTTTAGGGCTAAAATAATGAAGAAGTCGACAGAGAAAATTGTTCAAAATCAATGAGTAGTTTCACATTTTATTTTTATGGAAACGGGCTCTACATTTTTAGAATTTCTTCCTTTTTCTTTACCGAATGTAATCATCATTTTAATATGCATTTCCTACTGTTAGTCAGACAAAACAAGCAGTTTGAAGCCAAGACATGGTGGGAAATTCACACTTTTAGTCTAAAACAAGATTTTAAATGAGAAAATACTGTGCAGATGAATCAGTATTGAAACATAGTGATAGGTTGTAATTCAAAGTCTGGCTTCTAATTCTCCTTTTCAGCCAAATTTAGCAACAATATGCTTTTATTTTCTGTACTCAAACTGCTGTGAACAGCCATTATGATGTTTTCATTTCTCCCAGCTGGTCTTTGTCAGAGTTACAGCTTCCTCTAGTTTTTTTTTACTTAAACAGTTAACTCTATCTATATTTACATCATTAATAAACTTCGGGAACCCCCCCTGACCCCTGACCTGTGACCCTTTTAAAGCACACGTTGTCTCTCGTGAATCTGCGCTGACAGGCCCCCCCCAGGAGTGGAAGTGTCCACCGGGATGAAAGGCTTCCTCCCTGGTGATGGAGATTTATGAGAATATTATCTGTCTGTCTCTGGGGCCGTTTGACTGTATGGGAACTGAAACATCAGCAGTTTTTCCATTAATCCCCCCCCCCCCCAAGTCTCACAGACACTGGCATGGAACTTGAATCTCAATAGCACTTAGTTTCGGGCACTTTTACCTCTTCACAGCGCACTGACCACTGCTGTGTGGTTAGGGTCTGACCTGCAGGGTCACTGTGGTTTAGTGTTTGTTGATGCAGGGGCATCAACAAACTAACTTATCCTGCTTCCTGCTGTTAAAATCTGTCGCATTTAACAAGTTTTAACATCTCATAACCTGAATTTTGTCCTAAAACCTGTAAAAACATGAGAAGAAATTACTTTTTTTTCAATTATAGCTCCTGGATATCTACAATATATTCTTATAGACTGTTAATACCTTCTATATTTTTACTTTTTAACTATAATCATTCAAGTTTTTCTCTCCAAAGAACGTGTGATTGCTGATCATTTCTGTGCTTTAAACTGACCCTGTCTTTGGTACTCATGTTGCGTTCAAGTGCACATAGTAAACTCTAGAAAATATACTTTTTTGGACACATATTTTACATTTTTGGGTGAAATATAGCACAATACGTGCCATATTGAAAGGATTTGTTACATTTTACTTAAGAGGGTTGTCACTTTTTTTTAAATCTCAGATTTGACATTTTATTGCTCTTTACTACTTCCTTCATGTATTAACAACTTCCTTTAAAGAAACCTCTTTTATTTTTTATATCTTTCCACCTAATGTCTCAAAATCTTTTCCCATTCCTCCTTCCTGCAGAGGAGAGCGGCGTCTCTTTGCTGCAGCTGATCGGAGACCCCCCTCCGGATGAGATCCCCAGGGTGACTGGACCCAGGGGGGAGCCGGGCTTCATCTTCAACCGGGCGTCGGTGTCGGGCCAGCTGGCTCTAGCCCACATCCCGAACCCCTTCCACCGCCACTTCTCCCTCGTCTTCCACATCAAGCCCACCTCCCCCGACGCCTCGGTGCTGTTCTCCATCACCGACGGGCCTCAGAAGATCATGTACGTGGGCGTGAAGCTGAGCGCGGTGCAGAATAGCCGCCAGAGGGTGCAGTTCTTCTACACCGAGCCCGGCTCGGAGGCTTCGTACGAGGCCGCCAGCTTCGAGGTGCCCAGCATGGTGGAGACCTGGAGCCGCTTCTCGCTGTCCGTCTTCGACGAGCAGGTCACTTTCTACCAGGGCTGCGACTCGGAGCCCCAGGTGGTCAAGTTCGAGCGCTCCCCCGACCCCATGGAGCTGGACGCGGGGGCTGGGATCTTTGTGGGGCAGGCGGGGGGGGCCGACGCTGACAAGTTCAAGGTAATCTTCTGAAAAAAAAGTATGGAGAAGAAGTTAACATGGGATAGAACTCCAAAATATAATGAAATATTCTATTCCGAGCTGCATCTATGGGCTTTATTTGCCAAAATAAAACTTCTTTAAGGACATAAAGTGGTTTCTCATCAAGAATATTCTCACCAATTAGCCTCATGATGCCCACCTTGACTTCAAATTATGTGTTGTATGTTTAACAGCCATTATAAGGCCCCTGGTGAAAGATTGTAAGAATATCATTCACAGATGATATCTAGTGTCATATTACGTTATCCATATAATAATGATTTACCCCCCAGCCCAAGGTAGGCAACTCATTTATGAGACTGTTATCCAAAATATCAGCTTCTCAAGAAAGGTTTTACATTTTCCTGAACTCTTCAACACATCTTTATTTCCTGAAAGTGATAAGCCGGAGAAGCTCCAACATATTTGAGTTCCATGTGTCCTTCAGTGTTGTTTGATTTTTGATTCACTCAGTGTTTACAGACTGTCAGATCTTAATGTGGGAAATGTTGTTCCCAGACTTTGGGAGCTTATCATGTTTATCTTCCACATTTGGACAAAACAAAGCTGCAATTCTCAGCTGCGTTTGGTGGAGCCACTTTCAATTTGTATCCTGTCTTAAAAGTGACTGTGGATGATTCCCATTCAGAATTGGAGCATATTCAACTAAGAATAAACAACATGTGCTGTGTAACTGGATTGCAGAACTAACTTTTACCAACTATAAAATCTGTATTTTGGAGATGCACCTAATTTGCACACTAGAATTTGGAAGAGAAGTCAATTTTTTTTACCCTAAACTTCAGGGTGCCAGCAGAGGAAATGCTCAAGTGCTGATGAGATGTTTGCTCATCACATGTCTGACAGTAATGAATGAAAAACAGCGAGGAATCCTCATCCAAATGTCACCCATGAGACTGGGAAAAGTCAGAATAGTTCACTATGTGCTGAAAGAGCAGGTGTGTGTGTTTGTGTGTGTGTGACCTCTTCTCCTCTTTAATATCTCCCAGTGGCACCTCGCTGCAGGTGTGCTGGGTCATAGGGAAGGGCAGGATGAACACTCCTCTTGTAAATCTACCACCTTTTTGACCTTTGACCTTTCTGCTGGCACCCCGTCAGTGACCACATGTGACACTCACATGGCCTTTAAAGTGGAGAAGAAATTACTATGATTTGTGAAGAACTTAAACTGGCCAAAATGAAGCACAAAAAACTCTTTAAAGGACATACACTGGTCTCCAAGGCTGAGTATTCTCACTTTGTATGCATCCTAAAGTCTTCACAGTGTGCATCGTGTTAAATATCCAGAGAATGGCCGCTGGTTGAGGATTTAAGAAGGTCATTCACATAGCTCTGCATGAGTCATTTCACATATTTTCCATCTCTTTGCAGCTTATAGAGAAAGCATGAGTGCAAACAATGAGTCACTGTAAATAAAAATGCATTTAGCACGTGTGTGTGTGTGTTTTCTAGGGTGTGATTCTAGATCTGAAAGTGGTGGGGGACCATCGTGCAGCGGAGCGTTTGTGTGACGACGAGGACGACTCTGACGCTGTGAGTATTTCGGTTTTTAATGATTTCTTTCAAATTGTTTGAAAAAGGCATTTGTGTCACTTTTTTCCCTTTTCTTTGTCTCGCAGGCGTCTGGTGACTTCGGCAGCGGTGACGGCGAGCGGAGACAGACAGGACACACTGTGAAGGTCAGTAAAGTCATTTAAATTAAATGTCTACTTGATACAATACTTACAAGTTATTTTATATGAATGTGTGTAAATACATTTGTGTTTATTTTGTAATGTGACAGACAGTGGACAGCTGGTTTTATACCCCAATTATTTTGTAATATATTGCATCGGAATGTTGTTAAACTGTTTGTTCTTGCAATATATATCCCTTATTATGAAGACACACGCATAACATGAGAATTATGTCAATTAATCTCGCCATAGTGCATGCTGGGAGGATTCCCAACACACCTTTCATGTAACTGCAAGCACATAACCAGCCAGTTCCAACATTTTCAAACTTGTTTCATAAACTTTGGATACATTCAGCCTGGTTGCACGATCAAGTTGAGTGTAAAGACAGTGTATGTGTTTTTAAATACTCTCCTATGAGAATAATGAAGGATAATGTTTAGCAAATATGTTGAATATTAAGTTACAAGTTGATAAAATATTGGTATTTCAAAGTTTTAGTGGCAGCTTGAGTTCACCTGAAATAAGAGCAATGACACACATAGTATATCATCTGAATACTTCTGATAATGGGGAGGGTATACTGCAGATATTTGAAACTATTATATTATCTTCTGTTTCCAGACCACTCCTCGTCCCTTGCGGCCAGTACCTGCCCCCCCTCTGATTCCCTCACAGGGGAACATACTCAGAGAATCAGGTAAAAGCTCTTCATTTCCATCAGTTACACATGTGACATGTAATGTGCAGTGTGTGACTGCCAACATGACACTCACACTGTGGAGAAGTGTAATGGAAGGTTTTAATCATACAGCAGACACTGCCAAAAAAAGATGGAGCACTACCTTTCGGGACCTGACGGGGGGAGCAGTTTAGCTGCAGGGCTACAACATGCTTCTGACATGTTACGCTCTTTAGCTCCCACTGGTGGATAGTTAAGGAAGTGTTTTTAGTGATTTAAAGGTCCCCTATTATACTCTTTTTCAAAGGTATATTATAGGTCTCAGATATATACAGAACATGTCTCTGAAGTGTTTGGCTCCAAATACCAAACAGATCATTCCAGCATCCCATAATCCCCTCTGTTTCAGCCCTGTTCCAAAAGTTCTTATTCCGTGTCTGTAGCTTTAAATGCTAATGAGCTGCTGCTGGCCACGCCCCTCTAAGAAGTGATTGGTTAAAAAAACACAATGGTGCTCTAGGAGGAGATTCAGGTGATAAGGTGGAGGGGGGGTTACCTTGGTTGGTGATTGGCTGATGGTTACACATCCCAAAAAAACAAAATCTGATCAGCCAATTTTCGGACAGGTTTTTAAAGAGTGGGGGTCTTTGTTCTTGAAACTTTCAGAATCTGTTTACACAGAATAGACACATATTTATGTTTAAAAGACAGTACATTTAGGTGTACAGGAAATCTCAAATCCAGTCATCTCTCTAGGAGTTTTGCATATTGAGCGCCGGTAAAGCTTTAATGAACGACTTTTCAGGAATGCTAATGAAACTACCTGTCTCTGTCTAACCTCAAGGGTAAAGGTCTGAAATAGATACTTAACTCTCCCGTCACTTTTTGAATAAATGAAGGCAGACATTACCTATACATCACATTCAAGTTGTGTCTTTATGACTTTAGATGTCAGGTATCAGCAGCCGGATGTTGGTAACAGCCGGCCCAGAACACCTGGTCCAAGAGGTGGGTCTCTGGGGGCAAAAGGACTGTGTTGGGGCTGGCAGTAATGCAGATTGAAATCAGCATTATGTCCTAATCATCATGCGGCCATCCTATCACAGTATAGAATGAGCGATCTGTACTTTATGTCATGTTGGAGCTGAGAGCATGATGGTGGAGGAGGATTTATTTTATTTTGGTTGTTCCACATTCCTCAGGCTTCAGTGGAAGCAGTCAAATGCTACACTTCTCTTTGTGGTCATTTGATGAACTGCAATTCAAATCCCATTTTAAAGACTGATTATTATTTCAGATGATGTTATGGTTACATTTTGCATGATAGGGGTTTTTAAGTAAGTCATTGAAAAAAACCTATATTTGACCCTATAACCTAATGTAAAAAATGCATATTATTACTATTACTATCATTATATCCCTCCATATATAGGGTTATTTATTGATTTACTTCAACATTTATTTGTATTTTAAAATAATTTCAAATTCTTGGATGCCCTCAAAATGTTAATAAGTATGCTGTATATGAAAATCAAAAAATTTAAATAAATACACTAGTTGTAAACAAATTATGAAATATATCATTATTACGTTAATCACTTAATGCATCCACAATTTTGGCATATTGATCATTCTCAGGTTTTACTAAGCAAAGGAGTCCAACAAATCCATCAATACATCTATGAAATATTAACCAAATCATAACAACAAGGATAACGTTTGAACCACAGAGTGATATCTTTGTTTGGTTCTCAGTAATGATTTGGAAAAGGGACGTGCATGCATACAGAAACAAAACGGATAAGAATGTGTTAATGTACAAAATAACTCTAAAGGAAAAACTAACTGCAGCACTGCTCTACCTACATGTGTCCACTAGATGGAGAAAAAGCACTGAGTAAAAACTTGAAACTGTCACAAACTCATCCTCTGTTCTTTATTATCACCTTATTTCACATCATTTCAAAACACCAGATTTGTATAAGTGTGCTTGTGGTGTTTCCGTGCACTCTTTAAAGTAATAATTGGGGTTTTTCTTAAGGAATAAAGGGTACATTATGCAGTTTGGTGGTGGTAGTAATGAATGTGCTGACCGTCAGTATGACCTGATGTAGGCACAGTCAGAGGAAAATACATGCCTGATGACTAGAGAAATATCCCAATACAAATAATACATTTCATTTTAAGGATTTAATTTATTCATTCTCCTTTGGCTTTAACTGATGGAATGATTAACATTTCACAAGCAGGCAATAAAGTCAATGTTGCACATATCTTACTTGCACAAACTATGTGTGGTTCTATATAAAGTCTGATATTCCTGTCAAAAATATAATAATATGTTTTGAGTGCATAAAAAGCGAGGTCAGTATGTGAGTTTTGCTTTGGTTCCCAGCATGCATTTACAAGTGGAGTGGAGTGGAGTGCATGATGTATATTGAAGCATGGCTTTAAAACCCAGTTGTTCATCAGCAGTTTCTCTCACGCCTCCTTCAGGTACCGCCGTTTCTAAAGGGGAGAAAGGAGACAGAGGGAACCAGGGCTTAAAGGGGGACCTTGGCCCCGCAGGGCCGAAGGGGGAGTCCTCCTCCTCCGGGTCGTCCTCCGGGTCCTCCTCTCAGGGTGGAGGACAGAAGGTAGAAACTCTAAACACTCTGTGCACCAGTATAATCAGATGCACACAATACCTCTACTTAATATCTGTCTTTTCTTTATTTCAGGGAGAAAAAGGAGTAAAGGTATGTAAACAGTGACGTAAAGTAGGTTGTGAAGACTGGATTTGAGGACATAATAAACAAACTGGCTTTCTTTCCAACACACAGCTCCAGATTTCCCTTTTAAAGAAATGGAATAAGCCCACTTCAAAGTATTCATATAAATAATAACACATGCTCTCTCATTAGCAGCTTTGTAACCTCTACTTAATATTTTTTAATATGATAATAATTTTGTAATATTTATTTACGCTTTTTACTATATAATGTCAGTATTTACGACGGAGTATTAGGGCCACACTTAGAAAAAAAATAACGAAATACTTAATCTTTTGGCACATCGGCATCAGATTATCATAAGTATTAGAACTTTGAAAAGGTTGTGCAAGAAACGATGTCTATTATTTGGAAGAAAGAACCAAACGGACTTGGAGGAGATTGTCTCCTTTCTGAAGGAGGAAATGGCTGGTTCTGGCCGACTACAAGGCTATCGTTGGTTACATCTACGAGCTGTTCAAAGGGGATTTGTTGTTTCACAAGAAACTATGAGACTTGTAATCAAGGCTTTGGATCCAGAAGGAGTCGAACGATAGCCTTGTAGTGGAATCGGAATGAGCTCCCCATTGAAATCAGGACAGCAGAAAGCTTACACATCTTCCGGCGCAGACTGAAAACTGAAACCTGATGTACTTATATGATTCTGTTTTCTTCAAGTTTGTATCTTATTGGTCGAATGCACTTATTGTAAGTCGCTTTGGATAAAAGCGTCAGCTAAATGCAATGTAATGTAATGTAGTCGGCCAGAACCAGCCATTTCCTCCTGCAGAAAGGAGACAATCTCCTCCAAGCCCGCTTCTCAAGTCACTTATGAAACTACGGCTTTAATCTCGTAATTATGACTTTATTCTCAAAATCTCTCTCTCTTTTTTCTTCTAAGTGTGGCCCTAATACTTCGTCGTAAGTATTAACTTATCACTATCAGTCATAGTTTTATTTTATTATATTAATGGTGATAATAACTTTTCATAGTACTCAAATACACAATAAATGAATTAGTAGACTGGGGGGTAAATTAGTATTTGTCTTGTTGAGTTGAAAAAAAATGGCGAGAAATATATTTATCAAAAATAAATTCAGAACTTTTAAAATGACTGTTTGAGAAAAATACAAAAACAGCTCTACTGACCGGTTTAATTACCCCCCCCCCCTCACCAGGGCAGTTCCGGGTTCGGTTACTCCGGTAATAAAGGAGAGCGCGGGGCTCAGGGGTCCTCTGGGCCCCCTGGCCCCCCCGGCCCTGCAGCTGAGGTGGTGCGACTTGGTAATGGAGACGTGGTGCAGCAGGTGTCCGGACCCTCCGGACCCCCAGGGTTCCCGGGGATCAATGGGGCCCAAGGACCTGCAGGGACGGACGGAGAGCCAGTGAGTTCAGGAAGATGGGATATTCCAGAATTTGTGCACATTATTTAAAATATTTACGTCACTCACTGATTGTTTTTATCTTTCAGGGTGATCCAGGAGAGGATGGAAAAGCTGTAAGCCTCTTTGTTTTTAATGAACAGATTTTTCTATTAAATAGAATTCGGTAATAATAAAAAAATAACAGTGTAATTGAGTTCTTCTTCTCCTGTTCCCAGGGTGCCACGGGGCCACAAGGTTCTCCAGGAAATCCAGGAACGGCTGGCTTTAAAGGCGAAAAGGTTGGAGTGGATGGACGAAAAAATAGTCCCTCAACTACTACTTTTACGTTTCAAATATTGAATTAGCGTGATCATGTGTGATGTTTCCAGGGTGATGTTGGAGAGGGTCAGCCAGGGCCCAGAGGTGCCCCGGGACCACCAGGACTTCCTGGAACCGGCACTGGGGACCACCCAGTACGTCGACCGCCAAACACACTTTTCTGTCATTATTTATTTATTATAAGACTTCTTAACTGTTTTTTGCATGTGTTGATAGACCTTTTTTGACATGGAGGGCTCAGGATTCCCAGACTCGGACAAAATCAGGGTGAGTTGATGATCATCCAAGTTTTTCAAAAGTTACATTTTCCACCATAAAAATACTATATTTGTTATCCAGGGGGCCTCGCGGTCCCTTGGGAATTTCTGATCTTATTCACATTTCATATTTGCATGGATCTGACTTGGTTTTCATTCAAATTGTTCAAATTATAATGAACATAATTCCAAAATCGGTAATTAAAGTTGAGTTTTTCCATGACATAATGCATTTATGATTTGTTATCCAGGGTGGACGTGGCCTTCCAGGTCTGCCAGGGCCCCCCGGCCCCCCTGGGACTTCAGTGGCACTGGGACCCAACGGCCCGGTAGCTTTCGGACCCCCAGGACCGCCGGGACAGGACGGAGTCCCCGGAATACCGGTGAGGAGCAGGAGGCTCTTTCTACTCTAAAGAGATTCATATTTCATTAATGAGATGGTTGTCAGAAAAATAATTGTGTGCTAATAATTGCTCTGAAAACTAATTGTTTCTGGAGGTGTAACAATCCTTCATTATATAAATGAGATGATAACAAATCCAATATCAAACATTTAAAGTGAAAACATTGATACGTATACATACATACTTATTTTATTTGAATATCTGGAAGAGCCCATTAGTAAAATAAAAAATGTGTGAGTTCATATAATGTATTTATTGTGGTAAATGGGCATATGATATCATCTCATATAGTCCTTGAATTGACTTAAATAGTTTCCAGGCAGACTTGGTGCTTGTGTATCATTCTCTGAATTATTAATATGATATCACTTGATGAAACTTGGCATTTACAAAAGTTTTTATTTGCCAAAAACAAAGCATTTCCAGGTTCCTTACTGTGAACATCAGCTGCTTTTCATTGTTTTAATCAAAGAAAACTGAATATATGTTCGTCACACAATAACAATATGGAAATATGTGTTTCCTGAACCACTAGAAACCTATTTTCACTATTTCTTATAATAATTAATTATGTATATATTAAATACATTTTTAACCCTGACTGTTTATCGTGCTATTCAGGGACCGCCTGGCCAGCCAGGAAGACCGGGTCTACCGGGTCCCGGAGGAGAGAGGGTGAGAGTGTAAACATGTCAACTACTGAATCCAAGAGGAGAAAACATTGGAACATTTTTATTTATCACAATCCATTTTATACTTTTCTCCTAAATCCATTTCCTCTCCAGGGTGAAGGTGGGGATCTTGGTCTTCCAGGAGTAGCTGGAGAAAAGGTGGGTTGAATCTGAATTGTATCATCGAATGAAGTTTTGCACTTGAACTTAAATGAAAACGGTGTGGTGGGGGACTCCAGATATATCCTGTCCTTCATATGTGTTGCCTTCCTCCAGAAAAACTCAGAAGACTCAGGCTTTTTCACGGGCCTGTATTCTTACTTTGCTCCATCCTCTACGGTAATAGGGTCTTTGGTGCTTTCATTTATTTTTCACAAACTTTCATCTGATTCCATTTCATCAACTAACATATTTAACCAAATGTCACCTTGCATTCCACTTTGTGAAACCTCATCCTTCCTGCTTTTTGTCTTTCCCTTACATCAGTACTTTTGAAACGCCATATATTTCTTTGTTTGTTGTTAATGTAGCTTTGAGTTTCAAATGTAATTACATTTTTTGGGTAGTTTTCAGTGTGTTCTATTGTTAAGCAACATTTGTTCAGATTATTAAATATATTTTGTAGTTGTTTAATTTTGTCCAGTATAATGTCTAAGATGTTAAAATATCCTTTTTTTACGTACACAAAATCATGTCTGGACAGCTGTGAAGAAATGTATACGATTAAATGTTTAATCTTTGCACTACTTCAGTGTCCGTACTTCTTTATATTAAATCTGCACACAGCTCTTGCATGTCGCCTTTTTCCCTTTTTCTTCACTTCTGTTGAATTAAATGTCATGTTATAGCGAGCTAATAACAGGAGTCTCCATGTCCTCAGGGGTCTCAGGGTGACCTGGGTCTGCCGGGTACTTCTGGGCAATCGGGGCTGGCGGGGCTTCCAGGTCCCATGGGGCCCGTCGGACCCGTCGGACCTCCAGGGCCACCGGGGCCTGGGTACCGAGGAAGTCATGTGAGTAGAGCTTAAAATATTGAGCTATGATAAAAGGTTCAAACCAAACCTAAGTGGTCGAAACTTTAAAAATTGGAAAAAAGAGGGATCACAGCAATGTGTACAGAAACAAAGAATGGAAATATTATGAGTTTTGAGGATTTGAAAGAGAAATATGGGTTGGAAAATGAGGACTTTTTTTAGATATAATATACAGTTGAGGGACTATTTTTTATGAAGGAAAAACAAACCCAAGCCTGAAACGGAGTGATTGATATATTCATACGGACATACATTCGGACCAGACTCAATGCTACTTCAGTGCTATATCAAACTATAAGAGAATGTAGAGATACTTCTACCCATTACATCAAGAGAAAATGGGAGAAGGAACTAAACATTGAAATGGAGGAACACAACACACCACCACAAACTAAAGGACATGGAAGGAGTTTGGATGGAAACACCTCAAAAGATACTCCCAAAATAAAGAGTAAACAAACCTGTTAACAACAAACATGTTGGCCGGCATGTGGGAACCCCTGCTTCTGGGCACGAGAGAAAAAGCAGAATTGCTAACGTGCATAATGACATAGGGAAAGGAGTCTATCCAGTGTATAGGATTTACATATATAATATATTTTATATATCAACCACTGGCATGTGAAAAGGATTTATTCCTCTAATGTTAAAGAGCTTTGTGGGACAGTTGTAATGTGTGCATGTGGTAGTATTATTGTTCCTTATTTTAGAATGAAATAAAAAATGTTAACCTGCTAATAATCCCCATTTTCAACTAAATATATCAGTATTTGATTGTCATTTTTCCCGCCACTTTTTGTTGTATTCTAACTGCTTGTTCCATGTTTACCTTTACTCCTGAAGCTTGTGTACTGATGTATCAAAAAGGATTGAGTTATTGAGAGAAAGCGTCATGTTCTCTCCCCACAGAGTAACCAGGATCAGGACGATGTGAACAACGGCTATGCTGGTCTCCCCGGCCCACCTGGACCTCAGGTACACAACACACACACACACACACACACACACACACACACACACACACACACACACACACCACACACACACACACACACACACACACACACACACACACACACACACACACACACACACACACACACACACACACACACACACACACACACACACACACACACACACACACACACACACACACACACACACACACACACACGCACACACCACACACACACACACACACACACACACACACACACACACACAGCATTTACAGACAATGCACTGCCTCACGTTTCCATGTTTTCTTTCTTCTAGGGTCCATATGGTATTGCAGGACTTCCTGTGAGTAGATGACATTTTCTAAGTCAGTAGAATAAATACTGTTATAATAATTAAATATGTGGAAAACATAAGATGTACAGAAGAGCTGTGTATTTCAAACATAATCTGCATATCTAACTATCCTATGGGATAAAGTACAGAGTCTTGGGTGTTTTTATATTTTTACATTATAGCAATTAGTAGCTTTCTATGAAATGTCAACACTAAATATAGCTTTGTATTAATGGAACGTTATCCCTGTGTGAATCAAAGCAAGTTGCACTTAAAAATATTAACTTTTCTGAAGGTTAAATATCAGTTTATCACACCAGTCCTGACTATGAGTATCAGTGATGTTTATTATGATTCTCAGGGTAAATCCGGTTTGCCCGGTAACCATGGAGACAAAGGAACCGAGGGGTCACGAGGACCTCCAGGGATGCCAGGAATGGACGGGTTCCCTGGACAGTCGGTATGAGACCACAAATTCTGGGATTTGTAGTTTTTGAAACCACTGGACTCTGAGACAGATATTCCAGTTTTCCACTTGCCTGTTTTAATGATTGTGTTCTTTTCTTCAGGGCGATAAGGGAGACCGAGGACAGAGAGGAGAGCAGGTCAGTTGAATGACAGTTACATTTTTATAAGACAAGAAATAAGAGAATTCCGTTCCAATGCACCCAAGTTTTTTAACCGTTCAAATCTGCTCTAACCAAGGTGTGCTGAAAAATAAATCCCACTTCATCATACATTCAGTTTTAATTAGTTATTAGCATAGTTAACACCCCCTAAAAACGTAAAGGTCCCCTATTCTACTATTTTTTAACAGTATAGTATAGGTCTCAGATATATACAGAACATGACTCTGAACTGCTGAAACTCCAAACAGATCATTTCAGCCCTGTTTCAAAAGTGCTGATTCTGTGTCTGTAGCTTTAAATGCTAATGAGCTGCTGCTGGCCACGCCCCTCTGAGGTCATTTATGTAAGCCATTCAGAAGGTAACGCACAATTATCATCCAGCAAAGTCATAATAGTCTGAAGTGGGATCACAAGTGTTTCTAAAGCAAAGAAAGGTTATAATGCAATCCTTATAATGAATCTAATATATAATGATATTCATGTGTTATTCTATATACTCAAGTTCCTTATGTTGGACAAACAATGTGGGGATTGTAAAATCAAGATGTTTTTTTCTTCCTCTTCACCTTATCTTTATATAAGCAGGAATCATCTGTATACATTTAGCAACATGTGCTTATTCAGAATCAGTTTTATTACACATACAAGGAATTTGCGTTGGTATATACTGTATGGTGCATTCAAAGACTCAGAAAAAAACGATTATTGTAACATACAAAAATAAAGACAAAATTGACACACAATGTTATTATGTGAGAAACTGAGTACAGTAAAATATGACAAATACTATATTGAAAGTGGAGAGCAATATTAGCATCATACACAATGTAAATATTAATCATAAACATATTTCATTTTCTCGACATATGCATGCGTGTTTTGCTCTTCTTATCAATGTTTTATGTCCTTTTGTGTGGCAGGGTCTGCCAGGGCGTGACGGGGGGGGAGCGGGGCCTCCAGGGCCCCCCGGACCACCAGGAGAAATCACCTACCAGAGAAGTGATGTGAGTCCGTTAAAACAAAGATATTTGAAATGATTGTAACCCTCACATAACTGCCTGCACTTTAATCATGTGGACTAACGTCACTGCCTGCTGCTGTTTGTTCACCCCCCCACTAACGGACCTCCCTCTGTAGTCTAATGAAGTGATTTGGAATGGAGGGTCACAGGTGAGTTCCCCCTAACTGAGCACGCCATAAACCTCACTAAACTAAAGTTATTTAAACACATTTGCACTACTTGTTGTTGGTTTTCTTCATGTGTAATCGCTCTCTTCTCCAGGGAGGATCTGGTCTTCCAGGTCAAGCAGGATTTCCAGTATGTATCTCTTTTACTATCGTAGCATTTCAACAGTTCAATTCAAATGAGAAAATGAATGGAAGTGCATCACTGTGTAATAATGTCATTAATGTGCTTTGATTTAGGGACCCTCGGGGCCTAAAGGAGACAAGGGAGACACAGGGCTTCCAGGATATGCAGCTAAGGTATATTATTACTAATTATTTTGCATTACACGTTAAAAGATACATATTGCATGTTTTTTGTTGCAGAATTATACCTTGCAAAGATAGATTTGTCCTACCAATGAGTCGTACTTCAAGAGAACTCTTACAATTTATTTTAGTAACATTCTTTATTCCAACTTTAATTCATATTTTATAACATCAACAGTTTAATTTACCTATCCAGGGGCCTGTACTACGAAGCTGGTTCAACCTAACCTGGATATGTTTGAGTTAGCCGGTTGGCCTAATCCAAAACATACGCGCTCTCGCTAAACTGTCCTACGACGCGGGTTATCAAGTGGATCGCTCAAGCCAGCCGTGTCCTATCTAGTTAGGTGCGCGTTCACATGAAAGGGGTGGTATTTGGAGCATTCGACCAATCACAAACATGGAGAAGCGTACTGACAGCGCAGCGTCATACTTCCTGAATTAAAAGTCAACTATAATATTAGACATATGAAGAAGTTAAACTTTAAACATCCATGACTTAAACACTTTATCCAGGATAAAAGCCACATAGATGCACCTGCAAGGTGAATACAGCTGGTAAAAGAAAAAAGTGTTTGAATGCGTACATTAACAGGTTTATGATATCACTGCCCCGTCTAAAACACGATCTGACTTTAATTACATTTGACTCGAGTGTTTCGTCAACTTAATGTGTTGCTTAAAATAATACTTCTGCATACAGTATGTGACGCTGTGAGTGTTGCACGGCCAGATACGGCTCAGCTGACTTAGATAAGGAAATATATGATACATTATGATGTGATATGCCGCGGACTGTACTTAATGTTACTCTGATCCGGTTACTTATGTTGTGGCAGATATTTAAGTAAGCTTTCTTAACGCTAATGTTATAATAGTCAGATTGCTCTGAAGATGGGAGGTGATATTCTATTCATGTTCACGTTCACACAGTCGGTGATTTTTGCCGGCCGTCTTTCCTGCAACGGCAGCTTTTCTGTATTTCCTTTCTCCTGTAATATTCAATTCAATTCATCCATCCATCCATCCATCCATCCATCCATCTTCTCCCGCTTATCCGTGGTCGGGTCGCGGGGGTAGCAGTTCCAGCAGAGAGCCCCACACTTTCTTTTCCCTGGCGACATCAACCAGCTCTGACTGGGGGATCCCAAGGCGCTCCCAGGCCAGCGAAGAGATATAATCCCTCCACCTGGTCCTAGGTCTACCCCTTGGTCTCTTCCCAGCTGGACGTGCCTGGAACACCTCCCTAGGGAGGCGCCCAGGTGGCATCCTAACTAGGTGCCCGAACCACCTCAACTGGCTCCTTTCGACGCGAAGGAGGAGCGGCTCAACTCCGAGTCCCTCCCTGATGACCGAACTTCTCACCTTATCCCTAAGGGAGACCCCAGCCACCCTGCGGAGAAAACCCATCTCGGCCGCTTGTATCCGAATCTCAATTCAATTCAAAACCTTTATTTATCCAGGTAAAATCCCATTGAGATCAATGATCTCTTTTTCAAGGGAGACCTGCAGATATATGACTATGACTAATATGACTTGATGAAACTCCGCACACTGAGCTCTGATTGGTCAGCAGGCAGTGCTTTCACTGAGTTGAGCTCTTAGCCTGCAACCTAACATGGGGGGTATACATACTACGAAGCAGGATTTTCGTTTAGCAAGATAACTTCTGGGATTTCCGGTACTACGAAGCTGATTCACTTTTTAGCGGGCTAGATCTCCATGGTGACTTATCCTGGAACCTGCAACCTAACCTGCTTCGGGGCAGGTTAGCCGCTCAGCATAAGTTACCATGGAGATCTAGCCTGCTAAAAAGAGAACCAGCTTCGTAGGACCGGAAACCCCGAGTTTTCCCTGAAGTTAGCCGGCTAAGGGAAAATCCTGCTTCGTAGTACAGGCCTCTGGTGATTAGAATACAGTATATAACAATAATATTTTTGTTCTTTTTTTATTCCCGTTTTTAACTATCTTGTTAAACTTGAAAAGACTACAACTCTTTGGCGGAGCTTATTTATGTATCTTCTAAGCTCATTTAAAGATAAAACCATAATTATTTTTATTATTTTGCGTAATTAATATGTTTTTAAATACCTTACTTTCTCAACTGAATCTCTATTTCTGTTCTATTATCTACTCCAGGTTTTTCTGCAAATTTACGGGGTGATTGCTAGAAAAAGCATGATGATACATTTTCTCGATATTATAGGATAGGATGTTTAGTATATCTGCTTGTAGGAAAACAATAATGTCTGATTCAATGCAGCACATATATGTCATTTCTTATCCAAGTATTCCTCACTATCAGTTTGTTTTTCTCGTCTCATTCTGTACTGGTTGTTTGCATTAAATGTTGTTTTTATTTAGGGGGCGAAAGGAGAGCCTGGTATCGTCCTGGGGCCGGACGGGAGACCTCAGTACCTCGGGGGTCTTGCAGGACGTCCGGTAAGAAATGACCAGATAATAGGATGACCTCACTATTACTGCACCACAGCTCAAACTAGCCTAATTACTGCCCTTTACTTTTGACAGTGCAGGGATATAAGCAGGTATTAATCCATAAAAGTGTTCACAGTGTTTATTTGTATTTATTCACAGGGTGACGCTGGACCCCCGGGCCCTGAGGGACCTTCAGTGAGTACCATATTTGTATTCACCACATTTGAAATGCTTTGCTGATAGAGCAGATGATAAGTGAATCATTTAAATTGACCTGTATGAAATGCTTTCCTCTCCAGGGTCCTTATGGTGCTTCAGGACATAAAGGAGAGATTGGGATTCCAGGCAGACCTGTGAGTATATCAAATAATATCATTTACTTTATCATCAAATTGTGGACATTATACTTTACATTTAATATATAGGGTAAAACATTTGATTTTCAAAAAAAACCTTTATCCAGGGGTTGCTCCAAATTAGAGTATTAACTAAGTTTAAAAAACAAGAACGGTGAATTGAATTAATTGTGTGATACACTAAATCGTTATAAGTCATACGTTTTGTCCCAGTCCGCCCCTGATAAAGGGTCATGACAAAAGGCTTCAGTCTAGCCCCTTCTCTGTCAGAATAAGTTGGCTTTGGTTTGGTTTCAAAAGAAATAAGTTATTATTGATTATTTAATTATTAATATATTTTATATGTGTATTTGAGCTTCTACAAGTTGAAAATGACTACTAAACCCATGTATCAAGTCGGTTTAAAAATGGTACGATCCACTCCACAGTACAAGCAGGAGTCCCCGAAGTCAGACATTTTTAGGGTTTTGAAGTTTGTTGATATATTTGATGTGACAAAAGTGTTTTATTTCAGGGTCGCCCGGGGCTGAACGGCGTCGGAGGAGAGAAGGGAGACTCAGGATCAGGATCTGGGTCTGGAGTTGGTTACCCTGTGAGTTTCTCAGATCTTTATTCAAAAGCCTCAATTTCAGTCCCATTAACTTGAAGCTTTTATCATTCGTTCATAATAATGAATATTTGTTGTTTTGTTCCAGGGTGTTCCAGGTGCCCCCGGCCCCCCCGGACCTCCTGGATCTTATCCCACAGACAGACAGGGAGTGAGTAAAAAGAAAATATATCATGTTACCTTGATTTAACTTAATTTAGGACTTATCTGTTTAAGTAATGTCCTTAATTTGAATCTGAATTGAAGTATATGGGGGACAATTAGAGATCGCTTAACTTAAATGTTGCAATTTATTGATCTAATAATGGATGTTATCATTTTTGAATTGCAGGGATATGACGATTATTCCAGATATAACCCCGGTAAGTTTAATTTGTATTAGCTTTGCTTTTTTTAATCAATATTTCTAGAGAAGATGAATGCCACTTTTATGTCTGTAACTAAAAATGGAGTAGCTGGTTTGACCTAGCTAAGGATAAAGAATGAAGCGAATGAGTGTATCAATCTATTCCTTTGGGATAAATACAATATTATCTAAACTGCAGGTGTTTTACTTGATATAATGTTGCTGTGCTTTTTGTTTAAAGCTGCTAAAGGAGATAAAGGTGACCCCGGACCCCCAGGCAGAGTTGAGATTACAGGTAGCATAACATTTCCTGTGGACAAAAACAAATAGCTTTTAAAAAAAGATGAAATTCATAGCAAGACGTTTTGTTTCTGTGCAGGAGGCGGGTCGACCTTTGACATCTACTCCCTGAGGGTAAGTGTGTCTTTCTGTTTAAAACTATGACCATTAGTACTGTTGGGGAATCATTTGCTTAGGTATTCAACCTTTGACAGTTCATCCTTTCCTCCTCTCACTGTCTCCTTTCCCGTGGCATAGGTCTACGGCCTTGGGTATTGCTGCTATCTCTCTTAAGGAGGAGCAGCTTGGGCGCTTTGTTGTTGCCAGTCTATGACAGAGCACAAGCCGCCATGAGGTAGTTTACTGTTCAGGGACGTAGGTTCCCTGACGCATATTCTTTTCTATGGACGAGAGCTCTAGTTAGATTCAGGGTCCATATTGTTTAGTCTCGCTGATGAAGAATGTTGATTATTACACTCTGAACTAGTTAAAACCTCGAGCTGCAGAAAGAGATCTTCAGAATTGGTTTGGCAGCCGCTGTGTCAACTCGTGACACACCACCTGTCTTGTCAATTCTCCGGCCGTAACTCCAAATAAAGCGTCAGTGTTTGCCATCAAAGCTCCAGCTCTCCTCGTGTCTCTCTGAGTCCTGTTTCCAATTGCTTCAGAAGTTTCCCCCACAAGTACTATTGTCTTTTAATGTCGTGGGTGTTTGTTCATATGTGCAGAATGAGATGAAAGGGGAAAGTGGCACCCCGGGCTACAAAGGGGATAAAGGAGAACCGGCCGGGGGATATTATGACCCCCGATATGAAGTGAGCGGGGCCGGAGCACCTGGACCCCCGGTAAGATCAGAAATATAAAGCTTTAAAGGGTCATTGTGTGCTCTGAAAATCCAAATCTAAATACTTTCCTGTCTTTGTTGCTTCAGGGTCCAAGAGGAGACTCCATCGTTGGGCCAGCAGGCCCTCAGGGGCCCCCCGGTGAGCCAGGGAGAGGCTATGATGGTCAGCAAGGACCCCCAGGGCCCCCTGGACCTGCAGGAGGATCCACACCTGAAGTTTACAGAGGCACACAGAGTGAGTTAGGGTCCTAAACACAACCGTATAAGCAGTGGTGTGTAGGGCTGGGAAACGTGTCAATGTTATATCGTTATTGTGATGTTAAATCACAAAAAAAGTTGTCAATAATTTAGTTACTTTTAGATATTTTTATATGACTAGCATTTTCTTAGTTTAAAATGCTGATTTATAGTAAATTGGAGTAGGTTTTTCTAGCTCTTCGTAGCCTATTTGCCTTCAACCGCTTGGTCAAAAAAGACTTATTACTGATTATTTATCAAAATCCTCATTGAGTAAATACAGCATGGTCAACCTTACAAGATTGTTGCATTATTGATATCAAGATATTCGGTCGAAAGGATTGTGATATTATTTTCCTAATATCCCTAATGGTGGGTAATAACGCGTTACATTTACTTGAGTAATTTGTTCCTAAATTGTTACTCGTGTAGTTTTGCTGAATTCTTTGTGCATTTGTGATAGAAAGTGTGTGCTTTCACTTCATTTTAATTGGTCTACACTCTTCTCCCTACGTTTATTGAGACACTTAGCAACAAATATTTATAATATTCAGCGACAAATAAGATCTCTACACACACGATCCGGACTGCGCTGAAACCTCTCACACTAGGATTCAGTAATTGACATAAGAAATATGTTTTGTTATATTACATTCCTGAGCATGTTAATTAATGACAGCACTCACATTTATTATCACCTGTTGATGACATGTTTATGCAGTTATGATTGCATCTAATGAAGAGTTACTTTTTTACTAGTTTTACTTCTACTTGAATTAAAATGAAGTACTTATACTTTTGTTTTAGTACCATTTTAGTTTACTGTATCCAACATTGCAATTAAGTCTGCATACAGTCATGTGATCCCCTCCCTTTTGTTATGACAGCTATCAATATTCCTGGACCCCCGGGACCACCTGGAACACCTGGACTACCTGGATACTCCTCAGGGGTGAATAAGCAGTTTATTATCTAACAGAAAACACAAACACCAGCGGTAATGTAGCTGTAGCTGAGCTGTAAGAGTGTTTCTGTGGTTGTAGGTGACGGTGTTGAGGACGTATGACACCATGACAGCCACCGCCAGAAGACAGCCTGAGGGCTCTCTGGTCTACATCATAGATCAAACTGATCTCTACCTGAGGGTCCGGGGGGGCATTCGTCAAGTCCAGGTGAAGTATTGACTTACTGTCTTACATCGGCAGGACACATTTAATTTTAACAATTTTGTTCCTATATTTATTTATTTATGTATTTATTCATTTATTTATGTTTTTATGTATTTACACTTACGTCATATTGCAAACTCCATGCATACATACTGTAACCCCCTGTATATTTCTGTTGTCTCTTTATTTTGCAGCTTGGGGATTACATTGCTTTGCCCGTTGTAGATGTGAGTGTTTTGGCTTTTTCTTCACTTACAATGACCATTATCTTAATGTACATAATGCACGTTATTTTCATTCACATAATGCCCATTATTTCCAGGGTAACGAGGTTGCAGCTGTGGAGCCCCCACCTGTTGTTCCCTACTCCCCCCACCACACCGAAAACACCGACCCCTCCGTACACGACTCCCAAAGGCAACCTGAGAGCCCCGTCTACCCGGACCCTCACCACCCTACACATCAGGACCCTCACCACCCTACACGTCAGGATCCTCACCACCCTACACACCAGGACCCTCACCACCCTACACACCAGGACCCTCACCACCCTACACACCAGGACCCTCGCCACCCTCACGAGCCTACACACCAGGACCCTCACGAGCCTACACACCAGGACCCTCACCACCCTACACACCAGGACCCTCACCACCCTACACACCAGGACCCTCGCCACCCTCACGAGCCTACACACCAGGACCCTCACCACCCTACACACCAGGACCCTCACCACCCTACACACCAGGACCCTCACCAACCTACACACCAGGACCCTCACCAACCTACACACCAGGACCCTCACCACCCTCACCAACCTACACACCAGGACCCTCACCACCCTCACCAACCTACACACCAGGACCCTCACCACCCTACACACCAGGACCCTCACCATCAGGAACCACAGTACCCGTCCAACCCTGATCCCAGATACCCCTCCCACCCTGACCCCAGATATCCCTCCAACCCTGACCCCCGGTATCAGCCGGACCCTCGGTTCCCACCACCCACAGATCCACGTTTCCCGAGTTACACAGACCGCCTGAACCAACCGGACGGGAGGGTTTCTGTCAACACGGCTCAGGAGCGCCCTGCGTACCCGGACTCCCGCTACGCGGACCCTCGCTTCGCCGTCACTCCTCAGCGAAGACCCCCTCCTCGGGTGCCCCACACTCCAGTGCACCATCATACCTCAGGAGCAGGGGTAAGAGAGACCACTTCCACACCATCCCATTTAATCTGAATACTTTATAGATCCTGGGGGGTAAATGGGTTTTGTGATGGTTGCTCTATTGTTAAATGTGCAAAGAAAGATTGAATTAAATGAAACAGAGAAAATATATTTATACAAACAAAAGAAGTTGAGTAAAAATATAAAAATGTGCAGTAAATTATTTTATTCAAAAACAATATTTATATAAAAAGAAATGGTTAAGTAAAAAAAGAAAATGTGCATTAAAAACAACAATATTCATATAAACACAAGAGGTTAAATCAAATACAAATACAAATATTTCTTAAAACCATAAGAAGTTAAAGAAAAATTGTGCAATAAAAGATCAAATAAAAATAAAATAGAATATAAATGTAAACAAAATAATACAAAAAATTAAATAACAATATTTATATAGTAACACAAAGTAAACATGTGCACATTGAACAGTATATAAAATAATATGTAAAAATGTGTATTTACCGTGACAACATTTGCTCACATCTCCGCTAAAGTTTTTTAATGAAATCAAATATGAATACTGTACATGTTGGTGTTCCCCAGCTCCACCTCATCGCCCTGAACAGCCCCCACTCCGGCTCCATGCGGGGGATCCGCGGAGCAGACTACCAGTGCTTCACCCAGGCTCAGGCCATCGGGATGAAGGGAACTTTCCGGGCCTTCCTCTCCGCCAAACTGCAGGACCTGCACAGCATCGTGCGCCGGAGCGACAGGGACCACCTGCCCATAGTCAACCTGAAGGTAGCCAGCAGAGGGTTTCTGGACATTTAAGGGAAAATACATTCTTCCCAAGGGTCCAATAAGAATGTCTCATGTCTGCATGTTGATATGAAGCTAGAAACAGAAGAGGGTTATTTTAATGGCTTTATCGTCTCATAATCAAAGATGAAATGACTGGAAACGTGTGATTTTTTTTGTCCTATTTTGATGCAAAGCGTTGTACATTTGCAGGAGTGTAGCAGCACATGGAAGTAAAAGCAGAACTTTTATGTGAAAGTGCAATACAAATAATTGATCCCTAAAAACTATTTCCAATCGTTATCTACATATTGATCATAACAATTGTAATAATCTGTAACTATCTGCCCACCAGTTCTATATCCTTCACCAGATCTTTGCACTGATTTTTTTGTGTCACCTTCATCAGGACGAGGTTCTGTATGACAGCTGGGACGCCATGTTTAATGAGGGCAGGATGAAGGACAACGTGCCGATGTACTCCTTCGATGGCAAAGACGTCCTCAACGACAGCACATGGTGAGACAAAAATCATCCCCAAACCACCGTAACGGAATTTTGTTGGTATGCAGTAATCAAAATAGACACAAATTCACTTGGACGCTGAAGTGTGTGGATGACTGCACCAATACTCGTATTTCAATTACTCCATTTCCTACTCTATCACCAACAAATAATATATATCAAGAGTAAATGTGGAATTAAAGCCACTGGAAACCTAGTTTAAAATAATTATTTACACTGCTCTTCAGGTTCTAAAATGTCCTCTTTCCCCATGTTTCCCAGGCCGGAGAAGATGCTGTGGCACGGGTCGAACGCCGCGGGGAGGGGTCAGGTGGACAGCATCTGTGAGGGCTGGCGGGTGGGCGAGCAGGCGCTGACCGGCACGGCGGCGGAGCTGCGGAGCGGCAACCTGCTGCAGCAGACCCCCAGCAGCTGCTCCGGCTCCTACGTGGTGCTGTGCATCGAGAACAGCTACATCGGCCAGGCCAAGAGATAAACACACACACACACACACACACACACACACACACACACACACACACACACACACACACACACACACACACACACACACACACACACACACACACACACACACACTGGACACCTCCCGAAGCCATGCTTTTGTCCATACTTTTCAGTATGTTGTAAATATGTTTTCCTCTTATGAATAATTAGTTTGTTTGTAAGCCATTCCCATATGGTGCTATACAGGACCCTCCCACATGTTGAACCTTTGTTTAAACTCAGGATATATACAGTAACACACCCTGCGGCAGCCATATTGGAAGTACACAAGGCAACAGTGTGTTTCCAGCAGGGACGCTCGCTTGTCTGTGAATGGTTCTTTTCCACTTTTAAGCTAGCAATCGCTTAAATGCTGATATAAATGTTGACGCTTGGTGCTTTATACTTAAGAACACACAGGCTGATTTTATAGAGACAATTTACTTCTGAGAAAGTAGTCCCAATACTGTTTATAGATAGGTTTATCCAAAGTGCCAGGGTAACAGGTTTGTGCCTCTTTTGTAATACCATTACATACAAAAAGATGTGTTTATTACCAAAAAATGTACGATTCAACATCAATTTATGGTCTTTTAAAGAACTTTCCAAAATCCTCAAAGACTCTTCTAACCATTTAGATTATATGCACAATAAACAACATTCCTTTCATAAGATGAAAACCCAGGTTCTTGTCCAATATATACAACAAAAAATAATGTATTATATACATGTTAGATTCCTTTATGAATAACAGGGTCTTAAACGTAAACAATTTTTTATCCAGAAGCAATCTTTAAGGATATTATTTTTAAAAGCTTTGATGCTAAACAACTTTTGTGATTTTTCAAAGCTTGTAGGTTAGCTGTTTTTCAGGAAATGGTACGAATAATTACATTTTTATAATATTTCCTCAACAAGGGGAAATGTTATAATTAATATCTTTAGCAAGATATGTCACATAACAGCACCCCCCTCTTTTTTATCGATAAAAGGGAAATAAATGTATCTCAGAAAAGGGATAAACCACTGTGATCATGCATAGAAAGTACATCTGTGTGAGTTACATTTCGAAAAAACAGGTAGATTTCATGTGTCCCTTTCTTCTTCATATTTACAACCCTAATACCTGAAGAGCAGTGTTAATAAGGATTTAAAACAACATCTCCTGTGGCTTTAATTCCACGTCTACTCTTTATATACAGTATATGTCAGTGCTAGAGTGGAAAATTGAAATACTCAGGTGGGTATCGGTGCAGTCATCCACACATTTCAGCGTCCAACATAAACCTGAGTTATTGTTTATTAAAAATGGTTTAACTTCCTTTCTTTTACACTGATATAACCTGTAACCCATAGCACTTCAGTAATAGTCTTTTTTATGTTGTGACTGTCTTACATGGGAACATGTTTCCGTATTTTTAGCAGTAACAAAGGGATATTTATTTTTTATAAACCGTGCATTTTCTAGTATAGTGTGTGAATAATAACATTTCCAAATATACCCAGAAGATGTGCAGCCTTACACACACATTTCCTCTGATTCAAAGTTTGTGCAGGAAGTATGCAAACAAATGTACCGACAGATATCTGGACAGGATTCAGCCATAACTGTTTGTCTATGCACTGTTGCTTTTTATTCCTCCATTTGTTTTTATTTCTTCACAAACGGTAAATGCACTGCAGCTAGCTGACAGCACTCTGCGGTTAAACTTCCAACACAGCCTTTCATTAGTTTCCGCATAAAGTAGACAATAAAGTGACGTTTCCACGTGCCTTAACAACTGCAGTAAGATCATTATTATCTGTTTTTGACTTTGTGTTGATGAGCATCCTTTTAAAATGCAACATCTGCTTGAATAAACCTGTGTGGAAAGTGTGAGTGTGGTCTCCTTCTCTGTGAGGAAACAGAATTTGATGCCTCCCGTCTCTCTAACTCAGATTCATATCCTGTCTGTTCGTGGTCTTCCTGTCATTGGCCAGCTGCCTGCACAGCTGCGTCTCCTTTGTTTGTTAATGAAGAGCTACCTGTGTCCTCATGTGACCGGCAGCCTGCCTGACTTCAGAAACCATTCCATGGATTGATGTCGGCTCAATAGTGGGGGGTTTTAGTGATTTGCTGAAGCAGTTTTATACAGCAATATAACTACAACTTCAGGAAAACTGCAATTGTTTCAATTATTTTGAATGTAGATCGTCAGTAATGGAGGAAATTGTATGAACACTAGGGATGGGAACGATTAATCGAATATTCAAAATTATTCTGGTATTCGAATATGAGTTATGAATATTTTATTTTATTTATGCCATCTTATTTTGATTGGAGGGGTGCCTCAGTTGATTACATATTATCAAATGGATTAATTACATTTGTACGACAGTGCTATTTTAAATATCTTGAGAAAGATATCAAAGAAAACTTGGTTTGGTTTCTATATTTATTTGCAAATGTATTTATTATTAAAACTTTTTTTACGGGATATGTAAAATCGGTTAACCGTTTTTTTGGAGGTCGAATATTCGAATATACATTTGCTTTCCAATTCCCATCCCCAATGAACACGTCATAAAATACTGAAATTGTAACGGGATTTAAATATGATACCACGTGATATCTAAGATCATTAAATAGGAGAGCTGCAGCAATAGTACAAAAATATATAAAAGCTTTTATTTATATAATGTACATAGGTTAAAGGTGGGGTAGGTAAGTTTCAGAAACCGGCTCGAGTGCACTAAAATTTGAAAGTACACAGCCGAAAAGATTCTGCCCCTTCCTTCAGACTTCCTTACAGAGCACCTCCTCCAACACACATGAACGCGCACATGACGTCAGCAGACTGGTGAAAGTGGCCGCCTGTTGCTGGCGAGTCATTGAAGTACTGCTGCAATGCACGCCCAATGACGGCACGATTGTGCGTGCACGAGATGGAAGGCTGACAGACAGGGCGGCAATCCAATCCGTTTAGCCGGCCCTGCTAAACGGATTGGTTGTACTTTTTACAGTATTACGGCTTCCACAGATGACATTTTTTTATGGATTTTTTGTCAAAGCACTTAAGATATTCATTGCTACCGGGATGTTAAGAGCATTCCATGGAATATAACAAAAAGTGTATCTCGAGCCGATTTCTGAAACTTACCTACCCCACCTTTAATACTCCCAAATAACATGCAAACCGAAAAAGTATGTACAAAATTCAAATATATGTACAATCTGTAAAACAATACATGAACCTGTGTACAAGAGGTAAGAGTGACACGTTTGCAAGTGACAGTATTCACAGTAATTGGCACTTTCACTGAGAAAAAAGCCACAAAATAATAAATGCTGACTTCCAAGAGTTCCTATGTTGGATGTCCAGTCTGGTTGCTATGGCAACAGCCAATGCTTTCTACTGTTGCTCTCGGCACAGTACTGACGGCCCGAGGAGCAGCGAGCACTTTCTTGTAGTTCAGGCGGATCACCAGCGAGCAGAAGTGACTGACGTCCACGAAGTCGCAGCAGAGGACGTTGAGCCCCCCCGCCCCGCCCCCCGGCTGCTGCTCGCTCGCCCAGCGGAGCAGCAGAGAGAGAGCCCTCATGGTCAGGGTCCTCATGTCCTGCAGGGGGTGCAGCAGGATGTACGCAGCGTCTTCTGTCAGGTTCAGCCCGCTGACGTAGAAACCATCTGTGAGAAAAGCAGACAGATAAATATCAAAAAGTTAAGTACATGAGTTTTTCCATTTTATGCCACTTGTTATTATTTTGAATATATTGCTTTTTACTCGTATGTGACATGAATGTGAGAGACATCTATTCTTTTACTTTGCTTTGTTGACATTGTGGACTGATGAGAATATGATGTTTAAAATGTCTTGTCTTTGTGTGGACCCCAGGAAAAAATAAATGTATTATTAATAGGGATCATAAATACAGTCAAGTAATAAAACTATAGTTGACTAATTGATAAGAAGACCAGCAGGAAAAATAAATGCCTTTGGGTTTGAACTGATGAAAACAAGACATTTAAAGACATCACTTTGGACTTTGAAACCCTGGGATGGACATTTTCTATACTGTGATGTTTTATAGAGTAGACGATTCATTGAGAAAATAATCTGCACATTTATTGAATATTTAAATAATGGTTATAGATTGAATTACTCAACAGTATGTGAGGTATTAAGGTGGTCTCATCACATAAAAGGAATATTCAAATATGAATACATCAGTATTTAACACAGGTGCCACTTTTTACTTCAAACAAAGTTTATTTTTAGAGTAATATATATCTTCCTCTTCAGCCTACCTGGTCTTCCTCTGTGTTTCTGCTCCTCCAGATAGGCGATCACTTTCTTAGGGTCCGAACTGTCGGCATACCTGAACAAGAGCCAGAGTCAGTTTAATGTTTTTTCTAATTTACAGCTCAAATTCATAGTGGAGAGAAGTCTACAGCCAAGATGATTTGTAGGTCATTTGGCAACCTAAATCAGCAAAACTACATAAATGCATGTATCTAATAAAGAACAATTAGAGATTTGTATTGAGAGGCGAAGTCCCTCCCCTTCCGGGGGAGCTCCATGGGATCTTATTTCGGAAAAAGTATGTATTGAAGTCAATGGCGAGAGAAAGATGATCTTTCGATCCCGTTTGAATTGTGCCACAAATTACACATATGTTTGTCAATTTAAAAGATAATTTTGCAAGTCAAAAAAACTAAAATGTGTGGTAAAACTGTGAAGTAACACTTTTTTGTGTGAAACCGCTCAATGAACTACATCTCCCATCTCGCACCACACACCAAGACGGCCGTCACGTTGGAACATTTCACTTCTTTCTTTCAGAATGAGGCGAAAAGTATTAAACGAGGAGAAAATCACTACAAGTCTGGGCATGTTGAGAGCTGTACATGCACACAAGGGGAGTTAGTCGGTTCCGTAAGAGCCAGCATGCGGGACGGGGATTCTGGGATTTGTAGTCTTTCTAGTTGTGTATTTTTCATAGTCTTATATTTCAACTGTTTTAAGACAAACTGTGACTTTGGACATGGAAATGATTTTTTAAGATTGACAAACATCATATGTGTAATTCGTGGCACAATTCAAACGGGATCGAAAGATACGTTTTCTCTCCCCATTGACTTCAATACATAATTTTTCCGAAATAAGGTCCCATGGGTCGGAAGTAGAAGGGCGGGACTTCGCCTCTTCGGATTTATTTACCAGTAAGGTATCCCAGTCCACAGCTCAGGGTGCTGCAGCACCATCTGCTGGTCATCATAGGAAACTACAACCTGCTGACCTCTACACCAACAGGAACGCAAGGTGGGAATGTCCTGCAAATAAACATATATTATTCAAAAACCATATATTTAAAAAATGTTGTATGTATTATTAAGTCTGTGACATTTTTGAGCGGTTATAAATCTAAGTATACCCAATGTACACTTGTATTAACACATTTGTAAGGCTAAAAGAAGAATATATTTGATATTTATAAAAGTATTTGATAATCTTATTTAGAAAAATGACAACTGTGTTACCTCTGAAGAGCATAGTTTCTTTCCAAACAGGGAAATGATGTAATCTGCAAGCTGGCAGTGATCTTCATCGGTCAGTGACTCGAAATGAGAGCAGGCAATGATGATGATCTCTTTCGGATGAGTGTCTAACCAGGTAGCCAGTTCCCCCAGGGCCTCCTGCACACACATATTTTGTATTCACTCATTTTCATCGATGATGTTTTTAATGTAAACCCCATTCAAACCTGAGACTGAGTGTGTGTACCTTCACAGTGATCAGTGTGTAAATGCCATGGGCGAAAAACAGTTTCCCGCCTCCTGCTGGCTTCCTGGCGATCCGCAGGTCAAAGAAACGAATTCCCAGATCACACTGATCACTCAGGACCGACTGCTACACACACGGGGAAGAAGACAAAAGGGAATCAATGTCAAATGTATGATAATCCAATGCATTTCACAGCTTTTCTTTGTAGAAAATACAATTTATGAGGCGCTTTTGAAACATAAAAAGTAATATCTGAACACACCTTTTATCATCAGAAATATTTCAGAATTCAAAAGAAAGTTGTTTTACTGGGGGAAATGTGCATGTGTTTCTCAATTAGAGAGATAGCCTAAATCCAATTACTTTAAGACACGAGTATTTCCTGATTCAAAATAATTACTCAAATTTAATTAAAGAGGCTCCAATTAAATCAAACTCTCGAGTAAATAAAATCTTCCCGTTTTACTATTAGGTATCTGGTACATCTGAATAAACAGAGCATATATATGTTTCCTAGTAAACATTAACTACCAGCATTAAGCCATAATAATCTAATCAATTCGAATTACATAGAGCAGATGACATTTTCCGTGAAAATAGTTCTCAGACTTCTGCAAAAACAATTAAATTAAATAGAGCAGAGTTGTTTTTTTCTTTTTACATAATGTGTTATTCAGAAAAATAGTTCCAGGTAAACATGTAGAAATCATATCTTATATAATATAGCAATACAATCTTCACTAGGGTGTTTGTGCTGCAGTACTTTATTATGGCACTAATTGTGTACCTCTACTTCAGTAATCTTTGTAAAGAGGCCTTTCAGTTTGCTGCCAGTGACTTTGAGCACATACAGGGGGAAAAAAAACTGGAAATGTTTGACTTTACAAGTTGTGGAAAGCCACCTGAACGCACCATCAGATTGTCTCCCTTCAAATCCACTGAAGGGCAGGCCTCAATGATTGTACCTGTAAAATACAGTACATCTCTACCTGTGTGGTGGCCCAGCGGTAGATGCAGGGTCGAGTCCAGCAGGGAAACAGCCTGTCAATCACTCTGAGGAGGCGGGGCTCTGATTTCAGGACAGGAGAGGAGACGTCCAGGCAGAAAGACATG